AACATGTCGAATTGAGAATGGCAGCCCCTGGGGGCATCAAAGCTCTTGTTGCCACCCCCCTCCCAACTGACCCCCACTTAGTTTGGTTGCCCAAGACGGAGTAAAGTTATACTTTAAGTACATGGGTAAAAATGGGGCTTAACCACGAACTCAAAGCATGGGGGACAATTTGTACACACAGTGGCGTAAGCATGAGGTCCGCCCAAGAGCAGCACTTTCTTTCCGTATATTGAAGGTTGGCATTTCTTTTTGTCGTGGAAGGGGGTGTCAAAAGTCTTTAACCGCCCCGGGCATCACTAAACCTGTCTACTCCACTGTTTACACGTGAATATTTTAAAAAAAAAATGATTTTTGAACAATGTCTTCTCTTAGATATTTGTTAAATAGTTTTTTTTTTATTAAACATAAATCTTTTTGGTGTGGCTTTAAGTACATACGAAATTTCTTCTGTATTTCAAAGCCTATCCAAATTGTTATGTTTCATTAGGACCAGCTATGCACGACTATCTAGGTGACTGGATCTTATTCAATACATGCACCAAGTTCATACACAAATTTCTTTGGCAAACATGTACACGGCTCTTTGAGTTTTTGTGAGTTTTTCTTATTGAAAACGCAACAAATGCAACCGGATTGTCTGCATTAATAACATGGAAATGCAGGTCTTGAGACAATTACTTTATTCATAAGATAAAATCAGTTTTTTTGTTGTTGTTTTTTTCTTTTTGATAATTCACAATTCTGTGCCCCATTTATTTGTTCAACATTTTTTTTTATAAAAAGCTGTTAAAAAAAAAAAAAATTTACAGCGGGAATCCAAAACCCAACAATTTTAAGAATTTGTATTATTTTACATTAAAAACGGGACACATATTTCCAAGTGAAAAATACAAAAAAATACAACAAAAAACAAAAACGTCAATGTTTTTTTTCTTTCTTCAAGATGATTTAAAGCTCTGATGAAAATTATGAAATAAAGAAATATTTTTATCTTCGAAAAGAAATGTATATTTATCTTGGAAAGGTAACCTACTTCAACATGCACACCTCAGTCGAATAGATCGTCGGTTGCTTTGAGAATGTAAAGATTTAAGATGTTTGAGAGCAGACCGTCGTCAAATAAAGAACATTTAGAACGCATATTTCGTGTTTACTATAGGTGGCCGGATTTTCACCACTGAAAAAAGCCAAAAACTACTAAGAAGTGATCGTTTCAGCTGTAACTGGTTTGACTTCTGATGGGGCATCAAGTGGCCTCATTGTTGAAGTCTGTTTACACCTTGGAAACGTCTGGTTGCGTCCGTAAAAATTTAAACTCCAAAATATATTTAACATCTTTTTGACAATAGTTCTGAGTTAAAATGATAGCGTCTATTGAGTAGGCATTTAAAAGTGACGATACTGTAAGACTAATTTTATTTTCGGTAGCCTAGATGTGGCGTGATATATATAATTAACATAAACAATTCTTCCACATAAATTAACTTTCAGAAGATGAAATTTAAAAGAAAACAAAAAACAAACAACAACAACATTGCTATAGTTTTTTTAAACAATCTAGTTGATGTAAGAATTGTGAAGCTGATCAAATTTAATATTGTAAGGAGAGGAACTCACCCACTTGTGAAAGTAGAACCAAACTTGCGAGCTTAAAAGACGTGCAGACGGTCTTCATGGGAGCGTCATGGATGACTCATCAATGGAACGATCGATTGGAAGATGAATGCAGCACCAACACGCATAGACATCAAACTTATATTTTATTTAAAGCCTTAAAATCATTTTTAAAACAATTATTTAAATCTTCAAGGGGGGAAGACTCTTTTCTCTGCTTTAATTTTTACGGTACTTCAAAATTATTAAATTTTTTTATGGAGCAGAATTTCAAATAAAAGATGATGAAAACAAAAATGATATCCAGCTCCGTGAAATTAAACAAGTTATCTAACACATTTCCAGGTGATTTTCACATAATATTTAATTTCACGTATTTTTATAAACTACAAACAAATTGGTTTCGTCAACTTCTTTATAAATATTTATATTCTATTTCAAACTTATGGCAGATGAATAGAGATTTTCTTCCTTTGTTCAAATCTTGAGTTTTAATGTTCTTTTTTAAAAAGTTGCCTACTAAATTAAATCTCTAGACTAAAGAGAATAACTATCCCATAAGCCCCACCAGACAGGGTTGGAAGCTCACTTCCCTCTGAAGACGTGCGCTGCGGGTAGTTGTTGAGATTCTGTCCCGAACATAAAATCGTTACTCTAGCTATAAGTAAAGTAGAGTAGGGGGGTAATATTAGACGATTGATTGAGGGAGCCACAGACAGGCTTTCACTCTGCAAACTTTTACACTCAGGGAGAAAGAAAAGATCAATTCTTGGAGAAAATATACACTCGTAAACCCCCCACCCCCCCCCACCCCCAAAACGAGCTTGGACGATCGATGATGGTCGGGTGGGATGGGAGTGGGCGGAGACAAAGGGGGTGGGATTATCATACTAAGGATGGGAGCATAGTTAATTATAATAGTAACATTTCTGTATGTAGTCAATCGCAGGGGGGGGGGGAATGTTAATAGTAACGCGGTGTGTAGATAGTTGGTTTTGGATAATGTGTCCATTTTTATTATTGGGTGATGTTAGTGCTAACATGGTGTGTAGATAGTTGGTTTTGGATAATGTGTCCATTTTTATTATTGGGTGATGTTAATGCTAACATGGTGTGTAGATAGTTGGTTTTGGATAATGTGTCCATTTTTATTATTGGGTGATGTTAATGCTAACATGGTGTGTAGATAGTTGGTTTTGGATAATGTGTCCATTTTTATTATTGGGTGATGTTAATGCTAACATGGTGTGTAGATAGTTGGTTTATGGGTGATTTTAGTGTTTAGATGGTGTGGCGATATTTATTACTGGGTGATGCTAATGGTGACATGGCATAGATCTTATTATTGGGTGATGTTAATGATAGCATCGTGTATAGAGAGTTCGATGTTAATGCTCGGATGCTGTGTCGATATTTATTATTGTGGGATGTTAATGGTAACATGGTGTGTAGAAATTTATTGTCGGGTAATGTCGATGGTAACATTGGTGTGTAGATGTTTATTGTTGGGTAATGTCGATGGTAATATGGTGTGCAGGCATTTATTTTTGGGTAATGTCGATGGTAACATGGTGTGTAGATAATTATTGTTGGATGATTTGGAAAGATCCCCCTCCCCATCAAGAGGAGTAAAATTGCATTCCGAATTTCTCCAGGCATGCGGAGAATAGCACAAAACAGAACAATAAGTGTGGTCATATTTTGATATCCAAACATTGGCCGAAGAAACCAAAGCAAACTATAGACCAAAGTTTCCGTCGAATAAGACGATTTTTTAACTCATGGAAATCTTTTCAAAGTCGGGGGGTCATCTGATAAGCTGGTATAGGGCATGCTGAAACTTCAGGGACAGGCGCCCCCCTCTAGTTCCAGTTTGGTTGACAGCTTAGAAAAACAAACAGCATGGCAGCTCCCATTGGGCTCATTGTCTTATTCTTCCCTTCAGCTTCGAAGTGAATTAGGAAACGTTTAATCCACTTGCACTGTTTTATGTTTACATGTTTGATGACAAACAGCCTCATGTTTACAAGTGACAGTTTTCCTGCTAAGTGCCTACATGTCATAAGCATTTGAATTCAAATTACCATATTGAAATCAAATCTGATTTTTTTTAAATTTCAATTTGGTAGCCGGTGGAAGAAGAGGGGTTGGGGGGGGGGGGGGTTGTCTTCTACGGCGAGTTGTCTTAAACGCCGGAAAACACGGTATTTAAAAAAAAAAAAAAAAACTTACATGAAGTTGAAAAATTTTTTTTTTAAAAATCAGCTAAGTAATTAACGTCTTTTTAGTATCCAATTTGTGTTTATTCTGAACATTCAGCTTATGAACGTGCAATATCAGAGAAGGGGGATTTGAAACTAGACACATATAAAGGAATTTTTGGTTTGAAAACGACGAACGTTAGAGCCCATGTTCATCTCTACCACCTGAGATATTTGAAACCGCCTTCTTGTGTTCTATGCTTTTCAATGTGTGGACATTGAACTATCTTTTTTGTTTGACTTGCATAGAAATTTTGTAACTAGCTTAGTCTACATGGATGGGTACATTTCTTGTTTGATATATTATTGACAGGATTACCACACATCCCGGTTTGACTGGATATACTCACACTCAAAAGTCCCGGTTTCAACCATTAAAATAATGGTGAGAAAACCAATGTCTAAGTCTTATTATTTTAAAAAAAAAAGACTTTCTTTCTACTCACGGATCCATGGGGTGTGTTAACTGTGTAGCGGCTCTTTGTTTGTTTGGTTTTTTTGTTGTTGTTGTTTTTAACCATCTTGCTCAGAGTGGATCTTGTGGAGGGGTTGTTTGGCAGGGGTTAATGGCAGTGCACACGGTAATTAGACTAGACTCAACAGATGCCACGCTATAAAACGCGTCAACCATTACATTTTTGTTGTGGACTAAGTAAAGAGGTAAGTCACTTTAAAGTACTTGTGTAAGTGTAAGCGTTCGTTGTTTAAAAAGGTAAACAATTCTTTTTTTTTTTATATTTTCAGATTAAATTTGACATTTTTTGTTGTTGAAAACTTAAAAAAAGAAAATGATTAAAAATTTCTTACAGTACATTGCGCAAAGAAAGTTTGTGCGGAAGTTTAGATTGACACTTTTTTTCGCATTGAATGCAGACTAAATTTAAATACGTTTTATTTCGATTAATTAAAAAAAAATAATTCTGCACTTGTTTTTAAAAGTCTGTCCATCGTATGGAGTTGTTGGAAGTTACGAAAGGGAAGCCATAAGGTAAAAAATTTTTGAAAATAGAAACTAGACTTAAATCCCTTGCTAATTAAAAAAAAAAATTGCAAATCAACAACTTTTTACTTTTCTAAAATTTCGATGTATACATTCAATTTAACTAAAAACTTAAAAGAAACATTTCAATCAATAAAAATAAATAATTTAGTTAAAAATTTTGGATAGCAAGCCAATTTTTAAAGATTTGATATCATTTATTACTTTTGTAATAATATTATTATTATTTGTTTCGAGCATTGCAGAACTAGAAAAGTGTTTGTCCTTGACTCAACATGGCGACCAATAGATTAGTACAACAAGGAGTCAAACAAGTAAAACCATTGCTATCAGTTGATCGAACTGAAGCAAGAAGGAGAGTGTTAAATCTTTACAAAGCTTGGTATAGGCAAATTCCCTATGCTCGTAATAATTTTTAATATTCATACTTATGCTTTACACTCAAAACTACCTACAATAAGTTGATGAATTAATTAAAAAATTTTTTAAAATGAACTCAATGTTGACAATGTCAATATTATTTTGTTTGTTTATCATTCATAGGACAATATGTGTGTCCATAATTCTTCAACATATATAAGTGCCGCTCATGCTTAACCATATACAGATGAGGCAATTACTTTATTGGTAATCTACCACTTGAGCGTCGGCCAAGAAAAAATCCAGTTTTTCCGATTGGAAGGGCTATGTAAACAACTATTCTTACATTGGAGTCTATAAATATTTTTGCTTCTGTATAGAGGCTATAAAGTTATATAGCACAATACTAATACATATAAATACTTATTACTGCCAAGCTACCGATATGCCAGGAAGAAAAAGAGACAATTATTTTTTTTATCCATATGATTAGGGATAACAATACTTGTCCACGCACCGTTCTGTGCATGTCCTAAAATGTCGAAAAAACGTGTTCTGCAATATGGCATACAGCAACACGGTATCATTGGAAAATTGCAGACTACGTCACCTTTGTTTATTAAATAATTGCTTTCCTCATCACTGACGTATCAGTTTTTGTGTTCCGGTCATATATTGATTTATGCTACAATATTTTTTTTGCATCACGGGCAGTATTATTATGATGAATCGGTTAGTATATAAATCGCATAAATACTTTTTTACTAGTAAAGCCACCAAAATAAGGTTAAGTGCTCCCTAATCTACATTCATTGTAAGAGTTTTTTTCATTTTTTGAGTTATTATCGTTGAGCTCTCGATAAAAAGTTATGCAACCCGCGAATAAGTGGGGGTATGAAATTATCATAATTTTTTTATTTTGATCGAGAAGCGGAAATGGCTGCTATCACTGTTATTCGTTAATGTTAAATCCTTAAACATCTAAATAATTATAAGACGTTTAAAATGAATCATTTTAAGAAAAGATTATAAGCAAACTTGAAAAGTTTATGTAGTAACCAAGGGTTGGTTTTAAGTTTTATTTATTACGTTAAAAATTGTGTAGGGTACCGGTACACAGTTTATAGTCCATTCATTATTGAATCAATATTTAATAGTTTTACAATAGTAATATCGATAATAATAATCGCTTTTCTCTTATTAATTATTTCAGAGAATAATACTAAAATTAGGCCTACTTATCATTATCAGTTATAATTATAATTATAAACAACTGTTATTATAATCCTATAATAGTCTATTTAGGCCTAAGCTTAATTTTTCTTACTAATTCTATTACAAGCCAATAAGTTCTATATATAAAAGTTTTATTAAAATACATCAAATTAATAAACAAGACTCAAACAACATCATCATAGCAATTATATTTTTATTAGGACATAGAAAAGCAGTACATAGACAATTATTTAATATATAAAATCATTTTTTTAAGTGAATTAGTCTCATCATTATCATATTATCATCATGGATGATTTTTGAGTAATTTTTATCTATAATTACATGCTTTCAATTTTATAAATAAAAAAGACTACTTACCTTTTTATAAATATAATAATTGATTTAAAATTAACGCAAGCATAATAAAATTAGTTAAAATTCAATAAATAATAATAAATATGGACATATGGTGGGTTTTTTTTTTTCGTTTTTTCCTGTATAAATATTGATTTTCCCAATTTTTCTGTTCACTTTTTTCTGAACATACCCACAAATAAATTTATAAAAAAATAAAACTCTTAATGTTATATAAAAGTTTTGTTGTTTATTATACTGTAGATTGCATTGAGAATGTCTCCTGAAAATTTGGTAGCATTATCTTTTAAAATCAAAAAGTTTTGGTTAAAATAAGGCAGAAATTTTGAAAGTGGGTCACATGTTTTTTCAGTTTAATAGTAAGATAAAGAAGGGGGTGTTTAAAAATCACCAAAAAAATCATAACTCCACTTCTATAAAAGATAGAAAGATGAAATTGGTGTTGTTGTAAAGCTTATAGCTTGCCCTTTAAAATGATGTATCATTCATGGCAATTTGACAATACTTAAATGTTGTGTCAAAGTACCTAATATGATGCGGATGTCCACACACAGAATGTGGAAAACGTGAATGCTCAGAAAGCATAAACTGAAAAGACAGTTTGGCACAAGAAGCGCCGGTGATCTTTCCCCTTCACATTTACGTGGATTCATGTACCACAACCGTTTTCGTGGAAATTATATTTTTTTTAAACTTCATTGTCAACTTGGGGGATAACTAGAGTCTATGCATAATTCCATTTTCACACATTATCTTCTATTTCAAAAAAATTGTTATAGTTTTTCTATTTTAAAAAAAATTGTCTATTATAATGGGAATGAATAAGTACAACCAATGTCATTAAAAATAATATAAGAATAGTTGTTTAAATAGCCCTTCCAACCTGAACAGCTGGATTTTTTCTTGGCCGACGCTCAAGTGGTAGATTACCACTTTATTTACCATGCCATTATACCACATACCACATTCCTTGTTAAAAAAAGAGTCTTAATTTAATATATTTATATTATTATATTGAAATTATAAGTTATTATTTATTATTAACTTTAAAATTATAAATTGTAAGGCTGAGGCTATTAGGGCCCGGGAATCAGAAGTGAGAGGTTGGGTTTATTAAAAAATACCAAAAATATTAGTAGGGTTTGTAAGACTATATGTTTGTAAACTTACTTCTTCTTCAGTTTAACTAAAATAAACTACGCAGGGGCCATAGGCATAGCCGCTATTCGGACCCAGGTCCCTTTAGACTCTATTCTATTTGGATGTCATTTGTGGTAGTTTAAAAACATAGTCAATTCCATTATCTTTCATTTGATTCAAAATTTCGTCTTACAAACCCAACAATTAATATTTTTAGGAAATGAGTAAAACAAATTAAGGTCAACCCTGGAAAAAAAAGAACACAACAAAACAACATCGTTGTCATGTTGTGTTCCTTTTTTTTTTGGTTTGACCTTGATTTGTTTTACTCATTTCCTATTTTGCTAACCTGATTGCAGGCTTTCCCCTATAACCCAATATTTTCTTTTTAATCCCAACCGCTCACTTCTAATACCTGGGTCGGAATAGCCACATCGATATTATAATATATATACCCTGAATCTGTTGTTGTCTTTGATGTTTGTAGGCCTTGGCTTAAGGCCAGCACTATGCCAGTAAATTTCAGTAATGGTTGGAGGCCAGGGGTCCCCGAATTGGGATAATTTGCTTCAAATGGGTTTAAAATGAAAATCTTGAGGGTAATTTCAACTCAGTAGACACATATAAAATTATATTATTAGGGCATTTATTATTTTAAAAAAAAAATTTCTCGAAACATTGCCTCTGGTCAGTGTTATAGAGCTACATTGATGTACCCAACATGTTGTGGTTACTAGTTGCTCTGCAGTTAGTGTAACTACACATCTTGTATTTGTATGCAACATTTTGACTTCAGTCGCCTATTTTATCTTAAGCTCAGACGGAGCCTCGGTAGTATCAATTATTATTATTATAAAGTTTATTTCAAAAACACGCTTCATCCCCAAAGGCTCGATAGGGATTGGTGTAACAATGTAAGGTAAACTCACTGTGATTTCCCCATGGTCTTCCTCTGAGTCTGCCTGCTCTCGTACATCCTGGTCTGGTTGCAACCTGCTCTGGAACAACCTACTCTGATTGTACTGTCATGTGGAACATATTCTTTTAGCGCCCTGCACTGGCAGAAACCTATTCTTGTATTTAGCTTAGATCTTTTTATTTTTTTAAAAAGTTGTTGCACTCATTGCAGATGGTAATGGGTTTTAAAAATATTCTAATAGATTTACTATTTTCAGACTAAAATTAAGTATAACAAACACATATCTCTAGTAAATTTATTTATTTGAATGACAAAATCATATTACAAAAAAAATAGCAACTCTGTTAAACCAAATAAAATTTCCTTTCTTTGTTAATCAGTTTTGAAGGAATCTAATATTTCTACAAAGATCAATAAAAAATATAATAATTATTTAGAATTAGATGTATAACAATTGTAAAAAAAAGAAAACGTACATCCATTATTTATTTAATTTCAGTTAAAGCATTTAATATCCCTGTGAGCGTGAAACGAGCACAGGATAAACTAAGGGAGCTGTTTTTGAAAAACAAACATGTAACAGATATTCGGGCCATAGACATGCTTGTGATCAAGGTAAGAAAATAGAGGAGATTCTGTTTTAAAAAAAAGCGTTTAAATATTTTCCAGACTTCTGGGAAAATAAATAAAACATGTCTGGTCTGGTCGCAGAATGTAATATTTTTTTTATTTTATATCATAACCTAAATATTAATATGATCAGTGCTGTCAGATGTTAACCCTCAAAGTCTCAACTCCATTTGCTCCATGCTATTATGGAAATTTAGAAAACTTTGACAGGTTCCAATGAAATTGAAACAACTGTCCTAATAAGAAAATATATTTGGAAAATGTATTTGAGAAAAATTCAAGTAGTACAAAATTGTTACCGGTATACTTTAGCTTCATGTTTAGATCTATATCTTTAAATGAAGATAGAAATTTGGTGGCATTTTTTGTGTGACTCACCCACACAAACTCTTGCTTTTGGTTCAGTAGCTCTCCTCATACTGTTAAGAAACTTTACAACACAATATTAAGAGAGAAAAACTTTAGTAGTGTACCGTTTGTGATAAATTATTTTTTAAAAATTATTTATTATAGAGTTATGACCTGTTCCTCTTTTTGGTCGAGCCTATCATTAAAACAATGTCTAGAGGTTTTTAGTTTTATTTCAGATTTAAATCACAACTGATAGCTGTTGTATTCCCTAGCAAAGATTTCACGACTGTACAAATATGGACTCCATCTCAGCATGACAGTAATCCATTAGATCCCTTACTGGCCTTACATCCAATGCCTAGAGAATTTGATGTGTAATTTATGCAAATAAAGTTATGTGTGTATTGAGCACACATTTTTTCTGTAATTCTGCTTTCTAAAAGTAATTAATTTTTTTTTTTTTTTTTTCTGTCCAGCAACAGTGATTGTTGTAATTTTTTTTAAAAAAATAAAAAAATTTTTTTGATTGTTTTATGTGTAATTTATGCAAATAAAGTTATGTGTGTATTGAGCACACATTTTTTCTGTAATTCTGCTTTCTAAAAGTAATTAATTTTTTTTTTTTTTTTTCTGTCCAGCAACAGTGATTGTTGTAATTATTATTAAAAAAATAAAAAAATTTTTATGATTGTTTCAGGGTCAGATGGATTTGGTTGAAACTGCAAACATATGGAAGCAACGCACTCATATAATGATGTTCTTTAAGGATACTGTCAACCCTAAACCAACAGATTTCTTATCCAAATTTTATGAAGGTCAAGATTAGACATCTCAAAGGGTTGAAGATGTCGTAGTGATAGCCTCCCTTGTAAGACACTGGTCTTGTGTATGGTACCCCTAAGTACCAGGCAGACATAACATTCAAATTCAATTGATGACTACTACATCCTCTGTATGTACTTTATTCTCAAGACTATAGATGATATATTGAAATGTTAAGAGGAGGATTACTTTGAGTGAATGTTTCATGAGTTGTTTAACAAATGTGTAGATGTTAGATGTCGGCTGCCAGCTCAGATTTATCATTTTGACTGTTTTTATGGTTGAATAAAAGTAAAAGCTTTTGATCTATTGCATCATTTGGTTTTATTGAACAATGTTTAAAATAGTTCTTGTTCTTCTCTTAAATTGGCTTAACATTAGAATCTGCACCGAGTCATATTTATTTTACTATAGCCTTTTACCGCTATACGTTTTCATATAACTTAAAATAAAATAAAACTTCAAACATAAAAGTTTAAACTATTAATGTGAAGATAACCTAAAGCGTATATATTACGTGTTTTATAAGTAGACATAAATGTATCAAATGTTTAAAATAATTTTAAAATGAAATTAGAAGCGATATATGATTTAATTTTTTTTTAAATTTGAGTAAAACTTACCTCCCAGTACTTGAATTACAAATTATAGCACAATATTGACAGTCGTTTTTGAAAGTTTTGTTATTGAATATAAAATTGTAATATATCAAATTTATTAATAAACTTACTTTTAGTTGGGCCAATTTTTTAGATATTAAGTCTATACAATAGCTAATCTAATGTGGTAATAAGGAAGTAATTCACCATTACATATGCAAAAATATTAAATCAAAGATTTATCTCAACGCTTGTTTTGATTAGAGGTTTAAAAAAAAATTTAATAGAATAAATTAAGTATATTTATCAAGAACAAAACAATATTTATATGTTCTTTAATTAATCTCAGGGTTCTTAAATTTAATTTTTAAAAAGATGTGTCTTTGGCTTCTTTACATGTCTGTCAGGTTCACTAGATCTCAGAGGAGGGGCAAGTCTATTGCTTTCTACATCTTCTAAAACATATGATTGTATATGGACTTGAATGAAAGACACAGCAATGCATTATACTACTGGAAGGTCATCCACATAATGTTTTCTCAACTTGAATTTTAAATGAGACAATTTTAAAAACAATAATAAAAAAAAAAAAAATAACAAAATTGCCACAAGAGAAAACATGCACTATTATATTCTGAAGCCAAAATTATGTCTTGGAGATCTAACATGATTTAATTCTATAAATGTGAACGAAGACAACAAACAGGAAAATCCTTGATTGACCTTATTTCTGAAAATTTTTTTAATGTCAAGGAAACATTATGCAAATGTGGAAAAACAAAAGCATATTTTGAATTTCCTTCTCTTAAAAGTTCCCAAAGACTCAATAATCTTGTCTCAGATTGGGATGGTATCGTAAAAAAAATACTGGTGTCTGGAGTTCTTAGTTGGGATTCAGTTTGTCAGCCATGGCCCAGTACTTTGTCTTTTACAAAGTGTAAAAAAAGCCTTTTAGATATAGTTTTCATGTTAAAATGTTAAAAAATTCTCTTAAAAATAAAATTGGAGCCGAACAATTGTATGATTCTGATGTCCACTAATGAGATCGTTTTGAGTTTATTTGCCTCCCAGGCCACACCCCACTTCATCCCACATCCCACTTCATGTGACATAAACAAGATATTTTGCAGGGCCTTGACACAACGGCTTACTGACAATGGATTTTATTGAAAAAAATTCAATATTTTTTACCCATTTTGTTTCTTTTTGCAACCTTGAGATTTCACATGAAATATGACGTCATATTCTGTGGAAACAAATCAACAACAACATACTGAACAATCTGCCACCTTGTCTCACCTTGATTAGTAAACAGTCTGCCACCTTGTCTTACCTCGAGTAGTAAACAATTTGCCACCGTGTCTTACCTCAATTAGTAAACAATCTGCCTCCTTGTCTTACTTCGATTAGTAAACAATCTGCCACTTGTTTTACCTCAATTAGTAAACAATCTGCCACCTTGTCTTACCTCGATTAATAAACAATCTGCCAACTTGTCTTACCTTGATTAGAACACAAGGTGCCACATTTTGTCAACTTGATTAGTAAACAATCTGCCACTTGTTTTACTTCGATTAGTAAACAATCTGCCACCTTGTCTTACCTCGATTAGTAAACAATCTCCCACCTTGTCTTACCTTGATTAGAACACAAGGTGCCACATTTTGTCAAAAAAAAAAAAATGAGTAAAACAGAGTAAGGTTAAACCTGAAAAAATACACGCAACAAAACAGCGAACGTGTCGGCAGAAAGCCTTCGTCAGCGAACAAAACAGAAAAAACGTTATAAAAATAAGAAATAGCACTTAGCTGGTAAGTAGTATCTGTGGGCAGCAATAGAAGTTACTACCCCACATTTTGTCAACTCGATTAGTAAACAATCTGCCACATTTGGTTAACTTTGTTAGTAACAATCTGCAACAATTTGTTAATTTTGTTAGTAATAATCTGCCACATTTTTTAAACTGTTATTTTTTTGTTACTTTGTTAGTAACAGTCTGCCACATTGTGTTAACTACGTTAGTAACAGTCTGCAACATTGTGTTAACTATGTTAGTAACAGTCTGCCACATTGTGTTAACTACGTTAGTAACAGTCTGCCACATTGTGTTAACTACGTTAGTAACAGTCTGCCACATTGTGGTAACTTAGTAACAGTCTGCCACATTGTGTTAACTACGTTAGTAACAGTCTGCCACATTGTGGTAACTTAGTAACAGTCTGCCACATTGTGTTAACAACGTTAGTAACAGTCTCCCACATTGTGTTAACTTAGTAACAATCTGCCACGTTGTGTTATCTTTGTTAGTAACAGTCTGCCACATTGTGTTAACAACGTTAGTAACAGTCTCCCACATTGTGTTAACTTAGTAACAATCTGCCACGTTGTGTTATCTTTGTTAGTAACAGTATGCCACATTGTGTTAACTTTGTTAATAACAGTCTGCCACATTCTGTTAACTTTTTTTAGTAACAATCGAGGGAAAACAAGAGAAGAAACAATGAAATCATTTTTCTGAAATCTGTAAATCTCTTCAACTCCGCCCAAAATTGTGACTAGTACCAGTACCGTAGGTTGGTAGTGCAACGTCCGGCTTTACGCTCACTGAATTTGCGACTAGTACCAGTACTGTTTTAATACAACCAGGGGCGTAGCTAAGGCTAGTGCCGCCCAGGTTGGCCTAGATTTTAAACTGCCCTTACCCCTACGTCGAGTTGGCCGACAATGCCGCCCCTCAGTATAGAGAAGAAAAGTGGCGCCCCATCCCACGCCCCACTTCCTATGCCAGTGAGCACAATCTCCGTTACCCACACTTTAAGAGCCCTTGTAAAGTCAGTTAAAATTTAAAAGATTCTCTCCAACTTGACCCCGTGGTAGCAGGACAATAAAAGACAAGAGCTGCACTAGTCTAAAATCAAGGTCAAACTCTTAAAAGAACATTCACTTCCAGGAAAAATATGATATCTGAGCATGATGAAAAAAAGAATGTTGATTTGTGCCTGTAAATGTAACTCTCAGCATGTTGTCCAACGAGTTCTGAGAAATGACAGTAAGATTGTTTTGGTGTGATGGGTAACTTAAGACATTTTATTGGCAGATTCCCCCCCCCCCCCACGCGCCCCTCGTCTGTCATGCCGTTGCGTAACACCGCAGGAAAATTTTATCACGGACTGAGAAATGACAGTAAGATTGTTTTGGTGTGGTGGGTAACTTAAGACATTTTATTGGCAGATTCCCCCCCCCCCCCACGCGCCCCTCGTCTGTCATGCCGTTGCGTAACACCGCAGGAAAATTTTATCACGGACTTTGTTTTCAATGTCAGTAAACAAAATAGTGGCAATTTCTTCCCGTCAACAGAAAGGTCGTGCAGTTAATGGAATTGTTTAAAGTTGAAATGGCATGGCATAGGGTAATGGCATAGTATAGTATTAAGTAATGACAATGTTTAGGATAATTTCACTAATAATAGAGTAATGGCACCGTATAGGGTAATGGCACCGTATAGGGTAATAGCACTTTATAGGGTAATGGCACTGTTTCGGGTAAGAGCACTTTATAGGGTAATGGCACTTTATAGAGTAATGACACTTTATAGGGTAATGGCACTTTATAGGGTAATTGCACTGTACTTGATTTAAACTGTCGTTACCAACGAACGGACACTTACCAATGCAAGAGATGGCAGATTAGTTTACATGAGTTCATTAACATAATAAACATGCAAAAAAAAGAAAAAAAGTTGAACTCTTGGCCTCTTATTTCTCAACTCACACTTCTCACAAAAAGTATCCGAAGAATGTTGAAATGTTTATACTTTCCCCCAGTAGTGTTGCATCAGTGGATGTCCAGTCCAGTGATATCTCAACTGTTTAGCTTTGGGGGCCGGTGAGTAACATTTTCCCACTGCATCACGAACCAGTGCCGGATTTATGAATTATGTTATCTTTTCATTTGACCTGAAATATGTTATAAAATATATTTTAATCTTCGATCATGCAATCGTTTAATGCTAGCCGTTAGAATTTTTTTAAAATTTTAAATTGCTGTCAAACATGATTTAACTCTTATCCAGTTTCTTGTCTCATGGTGTGCAAGGCTTGCGGGCCGGTGCGTGAAACACAACTTGGTGAACCGCCGGTCAATACTGTTTTGTCAGTTCATCCGTCAGATCGATCAGTACCATTTTAATCAAAGACCGATTCTGCCGAGAATGGTTCTTGTGCGGTAGGTGCAAGGGGTGGATGGGACATCGCTAGGTGCAGAGTTCACCCGAGCTCTTCTGGATTGTCTTCTGTGCTCTGCAGCAGCGCCCCTGTCGGCTTTGTCATGCAAAGAGCCTTTGTGTGAAGAGGGACGTCAAGGCACTCGATCTTTTTGCCGATTCTTTCCACATGTTTAGTTTTATATAGAATGCAGTCAATGAAGCTTTAGGGTTGTCTTTGAAACGATTTTGATGTCCCAAATCAATCCGCCTTGCATACTCGAGCTTGCATAAAAGAATTTTGGCAAGCGCTCCTCTGAAATTCTCACAACATGGGACTGCTTTAAAAATGGTAAAGATGCTGAGGAGACGTGTCTGTGCGATTACCTGGGTGCCTGGTACCTTGATTTGATGCTGAGGATTTTCTGTGGCCTGTTGGGAGAAATGGGTGAAACGTTCGTGTATAGCGTGGGGAGCACAACAGCAGCCTCGTAGATTTTTGTTTTGGTTTGAGAGATGATATTTCTCCTGGTCCACGCATTCTTAGACATTTGCAATAGATTTCAGTGGTCCTAGAAATACAAAGGTTGACCTCGTTATCGATGAGTGTGCTTGGGTACAGTGGCTCTGCCAAGGTTAGAGAAGCTATTAACTACTTTCAGCATATCGTTTTTTACTTGAATGTTGGGCTGAACGCAAGATTCTCAACGAGCTGGTTGATTATGGACTCAGTCTTTTTCGTGTTGATGGGGAGCCATAAGTTTGTACATGTCCACTTCTGATCCTGGATTTTGTGTACTGTCGTCGGCGTACAGAAAGTCCGTGATGATGTCTGTTAGGACCTTAGATTTATAGCTTATTATCATCCCGTATCTGATGCAGATCCCAGCGTCTCCCCCTCTGAAGGCATGAGTCAGCATGGCGGAGAGCATGGGGCTGACTAAACGAGGCTAAAGACTACTTTTAAAGGTAATGTATACGAAAGGTCGATGGTAGTCAAGTTTTTAGTTCTATAATTTTTCCACAAACGAAAATTATGCACAATAAGATTGCACACAAAGAAAATGCGCACATAGATGATTCAAAACACGAATATTCCTTACGTATACTTTATTTATC